GCAGCCAACGTTTACCATAGCCAAAAAGGCCCCAGTGATAAGTAGGCAGCAAAGTTAAGGGAAGGATTTGTGGTGGAAGGTGCCTGGATTGAGACTTTCATTGGCACGAGACCAAAACAAATCCAAGTGCTGAGAGGAAATGGGTGTTTGACTTCCTCCCTGTATGTAACTCTCTCACAGCACATTGCACCCAGTATAGAGCCCTGGTAAAATGAGGTGTGTAATTACTTGTGGTTCAAAACAATGCTCAGAGGTAGCAGTAGCCATCATTGCCATAACCTTTTCTCTTGTTGGTGATTCACTGCCATTTCATTTATTTGGGTTCTACAATTCAAGCTCCCATCAAATGCAGGAAACCAGCCATAATTTCTCCAGCTGGGTGGGGTTTTTTTCCCCCTTTTGCAGATGAAATCTAGGAGTGAAATTCAGCTCTGGCACCAATGAGGCTAGAACTGCTGATGAGTTTGTTTAAGCTAAGTCTCAGCCTTTTTAACTCGGTGCCCAATTTTTCTTTCACTGACATCATATTTACACCTGCATAACATTTGACCCTCAATGATATAGTTCCTCACTTACAGTTGCTTATTTTGAGTGATGTCTGAAGCACCTATCTGCCATCCTTCGGCTCCCAGGTCACCATTTCATTCTCTCTGATGCTATTTCCTCTCACGCTTTATATAATATACAGTGTCTGAGAGGGTGTGACAGGCTGAAAAAACAAGTAACTGCAGTAGGCAAATCCATACTAGTGTGTTTTCAGCTACTTCTCTGTTTGTTGCCAGTAGAGCTCTATTGATATTTTACAAATACAGGCACCGAGTGCTCTGAAGTGTAGAATGGTCACACAACATTGAGTGAAGATAAACATTCTTTTGGACACATCCTTGTCCAAGCTAAGCCACATTAGATAAAGCCATGCCTGGGTAAGATATGGGCCAAAACTGAGCAAGGACTTGAGAATTAGACATCTGGGCAGTTGAGAAGGGAAGAAAATCTCCATGGCAGTGAACAATGAGTGGACTCAGCTGTGGGGTTTCTCCAGTTTTGCACCATTGACTACAAATATTCTTACGATAAAACTAAGCAGTAAAAATCTCATCAACTTGATGCATCAGAGGAACCTTGATGGTCCCATGAACCTGAATGGAAACACATAAACCTTCTTCCTGACAGGACTGGTGCTCTTGCTAGGGGCCCTTTACTGAAAATGGCACGTGAAACAACCAGATATTCATTTGATCAAGTAAGAGTTGAAGATATATTTAGAGTATTTCACAGTTGTATTCCTTTGTAAGGAATACAAACACAGACTGGTCTGCCAGGAACTGACCCCACTATCCTTCTAGCATCCCTCTCCTACAGCATTCTGGGCTCTGTACACATCAACCATCCTTTAAAATCTAGTATTTCCTGCAGTCTATTCTCTTAACTAGATAAGTGACAGCACATTTGCAGTTAGTCATAACTGGTAATTGTAATCCCTTCTCTCATTGCAAAAAATAGGTGCTGCAAAAAAAAAGATAGGCTACGAGGTAACAAACTGCTGGTGTTGGACAGAGTATTCAGCATCTTGTAGCGATAACCCTCCTACTCTTCTCTTCCTCTCCACTCCCTTTGTGTTTGTCTTTGCTTCTCTTGCCTTTGACAAGGATATAAAATCAGGGTCAAGTCTATGACATATGTTCAAGAGGTTCTTTACAATCAGTTTTGATGTAAAGAAGAACACAAATGTAGAGTGAAGGAAGCAAGCAAAATGTCTATCATAGAAGGTACATTGCTGCTCAAAAATAGGAAGAAATTATCTTTATATGACAAAAAGTATTGTCCTGAGTTGCACTGAGATGAGCAGATAATGCTGTCAAGCTTTGACATGAACAAGGCTTCACTTTAGGACACTTCTGCTTTAGCTACTCAGTGAGCTCCTGGAGGGTCAAGGATTTAATCTCAGTCGCCAAAAGACATGGCAATATTTGTTTGAATTTCTCTCTTTCAAGGAAGCATTCACTAGTGGTGAATCTTTGAGATCTCATCCAAGGGATGGTCTGCCAACTTCCTGCTGTACCAATAGCTCTTGAGAGAGCATTAACTTCAAACTGGAGGATCTTGGAGTGCTACAGCGCTACAGACTTAAGATGCATGCCTGCCAATGCACCTCTACTTCTAATACAGCACCTCCCTGGCAGTGGCTCTTGTGGCTCCCTGGGCACTTGGCCAGGGACAAGCTGTCACTTAAAGAACACCCTACTATTCTGCCTCTGAGCCTGTTGGTCTAAGTTAGGCTTTTGAGCATGAAAGGAAAAGAAACCACGAAAGTGTGAGAGAGATGACATGCCAGTCACTAAAGGACACATAAAGTTCCATAGACACAGGAGTTTGTTACCAGGTAGCAATGACATCAGTGTACAAATGCTCCCAGTGCTATTCCATCACATCAAAGTTAAATTACTAAAAAGTGTTTGCCTACCAGTATTTACCATAGGTGTCTATTACCATATTCAGCTCATCACAGCTGCCGACATTTTACATTTAATGTCCCATACCAAGGAATGCATGTGGTTATTAACACATCTTCATTTTTTCCCATCCTGCTTTAGTAAATGATTTCCCTTTCTGTGACATCTAGCACCAGCTTACCAGAATAATTGAAATGCTTTTGTAGAATAATGTTAAAGCAGATCTGATCATCATTAATCCATGCCATCATAACAATTGTCCTCTATACATTAAGCCTTTCAAGTGTCCCAGGCACCCTTACAGACATAAACACCGGGGATTAGCTTCCCTATAGACCTACACACTTGGTCTTTGCCAGATCACCGACAGGGATGTGCTGTTGAACCACTTCTCCCTGTCCTGTAGTTTCCTGGCTGGCATACTACCAGCTGTAATGCACCAGGAAATATCAAAATACCATGAAAATAGGTGATTTCTCAGGCAACTAAGACATGATGCATATGAAGTTTTATAAGGCAATGTTGGTTTCTAAAATTCGACATACTAGGANCCCCCCCCCCATTTTTAGTTCAATGCAAGAAAATTTCTTTTGGTAAGGCTACTGACACCAGAACACTAAAAAAGAACCCCCCAAACCTGAATTACAAACCTATAGACCCTAAAGAAGAGATGGGGTGAAGGATTGTGATACATGTCCTGAAAGACTGCCTATAAAGAAACAGAGCTCAGCTTGAAAAACATGAAGATGGGAGAAGGCTGGATGACTGTTGGTCATAGGTGGACCAGGAAAACCCATTTCGTTCTCTGAACCAGGGTACAGACCAAACACATTATGCTATGAGGGAATATATAGGCCTTTCCATCCCCCCATTTATATCTGTCAGAGTAGTAATGAAAGAGCTGCTACTGTGAATTTATCCATCTCTAAAAACAGACAAGATTGCAAATGCTTGCTTAGAGTATAGTGATACAAGAAGGGTCATCTAGAGAACCAGAACCCATCATTCCTGGATACAGCCTCAGAGGGAGAAACTCAAGCTCACAGAAAGAAGGATTCAACTCTATTTCCCTCACCACTTGCGTCCTCTCTTCAGAGGTCTGTGCAGTACAGTGTAAGGCACCCTGTACCCCATCCGTCACAGTGCGACAGCATTGAAAGGTCAGGAAAAAGAGCTTTGCCTATACCACAGAGCATCTGCCAGCAGAATGATGTTAGTTATTAGGCCCTTTGCAAAAGCAGAACTAACAGCATTTAAAATGAAATTGCTGTGGATGGTATTAGCAGTTGTCGTGATTCCTGGGGGATTCAAAATGTCAAAGCAGGACCTGACTGCTTCACACACACCCAGGGCAGGACGCTGGGCAGGTACAACGTACTGCTTCTCCCCATCCCCAGCCTCCTGCCCTGCAGGACTCTGGGGTTGCTGCAAACAACCTTCCTGCCCCGGAAAGGAATGGCCCCTCTCCGACTAGGGAAGCGAATCTTGAAGTCAGCTCAGCGCTCCTGGGATTTCTTTAACACAGGAGGGAAATTTGTAAAGTTGAGCTTCCTTGCGTGAGCAAGACCAGCCCCACTGGGCTATATTATGTCTCCACTGAGAGGAAGGGGGTGATCAACTTTGTCTGGGCGTTAGTGCTGCTACCAGCCCCAAAACTGGGTGCCTGCGTTAACTTCATTGAGCAGGAGCTGGTTTATGGGAGAGGGGAAAAAGACAGCAGTCTGCAGCTGTCTGAAACTGCTCTGAGCAAGCGTGGTTTGTGTGCGAGGGACCGTGCCTTGCTCACCTGCACTCAGATCCCGCTTCCAGCAGCAGGTGCTGTCGACTCCGCAGGGATGCTCCTGGTTAAGAAAAAACGCCCGGGGGCGGAACGGGGCGGGGGCTTCCCCGAGCCTCCTTCCCTGGAGGTTCCTAGGCTGGGGCGGTCGTGTCCCACGGGGGACGGAGCGGGGGGTGGGGGGTCGGGGGTGGGGTGGGATGAGGTGGTGGTGTATGTGAATGAATGGATGAATGAATGAATGAGGAAGGATGAATGGATGGATGGGGGGGGGAATTATGGAGAAAAAGGAAGGATGGGCAGGAGGAAAAGGATGAAGGGGGGGAAAGGATGGAAGGAGGGAGAGGGGGATGGAAGTGATATGGAGGGAGGGGAGAAAGCGGGAGTGGGGATGGAGAGAGACGGACCAAGCAGGGGGCAAAGAGAGACCAAGGGCGGTGGAAAGGGTGTGGGGAACACGAAAACGGGGCATGTGAAAGGGCGAACGAAGGACCCCGCTGCACTGTGCCGCGTCCCTTCCACCGCTCCCCGCGGGGGCCCCCGGGCTCGCCGCGCAGCGGGGGCTGCCTGCACGGAGCCGACCCGGCCCCGCCCGGCCCTGCCCCGCCCGGTCCGGCCCTGCGCGCCGCCGGCCGTGCGGAGCCCCGGCGCCGCCACCGCCCCCCGACGGGCCGCGCGCGGAGCAGGGCGGAGGCGCGCGGCGCTGACCGCCCCCGCCGGCACCGCCGCCCGCGTCCGGCCGCCCCGCTGCGCTCCCGTGCCCCGCACGGGCTGGAGGGCCGGGCGCGCCCGCGAGGGGCGAGGGCGGCGGCCCCTCGGGACCATGCACTGAGCGCCCGGGGCAGCCGGCGAGCGAAGTTGGGGTGGAAGATGAACAACGCCGGTAAGTGCGCGGGCCCGCCGGGAAGGCTCTTCGCCTCCGGACATCTTTTCCCCGAGGCCGGCAAACGCTTGGCGGGCTTCCTTCCTCCGGCACCGGCACCCTCCTTCCCTCGGGCTGGTACGCCCCGCCGCCAGGATGCCACCACCCGCGCGGGCACTGCTGCTCCGGGGCTCGCATCCCCCTCTGTCCCGCAATCCCTCCTTCGGGGCCACCGGAGCTGGCACCTCTACTCCGGGCACCCTCGATCCGGGGCCGGCCCTCTGTTTCCACCCGACCTGGCAGGTGCTGGCTGGCTCCATGGGGCTGTGCGTGCCCCATTACTTGTCCCGGTGGGACGGGATCAAGCAGCAAGCGCGGGCGAGGCGAGGGGTTCCGGAGATAACCAGACTGGCAGAGCGGGAGGGCTGCGGATGCTGAGGGACGAGGCTGTGCGTCCACTACTCCCTCGGAGACACTCAACCCTTTACGAAGTCCCTAAGGAATTTGCTGTGACTTTCTTTCCTAAAGTCTGGTTTTGGGGGAGGTAATGTTTTTTGCAGAATTTTCTCTCCAAGGCAAACCCAAAGCTGCCTTTCTTTCTTCTGTTAACTTCCCGGAGCTTTTCCTTGATGGAAACTGGGAAGGAGAAAGAAACAGGATGAGAAGGGAACAAGACATTCAACAGTTAAAATGTTAAAAGAAACCACTAGAAATTTTGGGCAAATTTTAAACTTTTCAGCAACACTTTTCTTATTTTCAGGGGCAAGGCATGTGTGTGAAAAACATAACAATCCAGGAAAAAATTATTGCTAGCTCTGGAGTTATTTAGAAAAAATTAATTCTGCATCTAGTATTGAAGAGGAAGAGCAATAGACCCTTTGTGTTAGCCCTATTTTTTTTCATTGTGTTTCCTTGTTCCAGAAGGTGAGTGTCGCTGAGCATCTCACTTGCGTGGGTACATTCTGAAGCCCAGAGATTTCACTGCTGGATACTGTGCCCTACAACTGTCATGTGTTGGGAAATTTTGAATCATTGTTTGCCAAAGCACAGGAACATAGGATTGGAAAAGCTCTTTTGGGTCAAATCCAGCCCTCTGCTGTTGTATCAGTGTGTCATACCACTCCTCTTGAGTTTTGAAGTCTTACCTCTTGGAGTGGGGAGTGAGACACTTTTCTAAAATGTGATGATACTTCCATTCTGTTTTCTGATCCTGGTCTGGACTGGACTCTGTCCCTCCCAGGAGACCAAGTCATTTCAAAATTAAGTAAGCCAGACAAAAATTGCTTTAGCCATGATGCTTCTAGCTCTCTTTCTTTGTCTCCATAATTTAAACCCAGATCTAATCTGCTTCTGCTGTCAGTGGAAGTACAGTGTAAGAAATATCAGCTGTATCCATTCGTAAAGACTTATCAGCAGTTTTTATTTTTCAGGATTGTAGAATGAAATGGGACTGCCTTCATTACCAAAAGCGATACATGTTGTTACAGAACACAAGGTCATACTACTTTTATTAATTCCTCTAGTTATATCAACCCAAAACTTTTCAGATAGCTCTCATGCTAATCCTCACACCAAAATGAGAAACTCTTGGCATTGCTAGTTCTTCTAGTTTTCAGACCAGGTTCAACACCAATTATTCTTGTGATTACATTGTCCTTTTGCTTAAAAATAGTTCTTTTCCTCTTCTGGTGTTTACCTCCAGGTTGTATTTATAGAGTGTTCATATCCCTTCTCAGCCTTTGTTTTGTATGTTCACACAATGCAAGGAATGTCTCTCCCATCAGTGCAAAGCAGAACTTCCTACTGAATCTGAAGGAGAAGGGCATTTATTAACCAGCACAACTCAGGGACCAGAAGTACCTATCTTTGTATTGCAGTAAGTAATACATAGCATCAGTAAGTTGTCATATGTGCAGGCTTATAATAGCAGTTGTGATCCCACAGAAGTTAAAATAATGACAGAAAACAGAAAGGGAGACATGGATTATCGTCAGAGATTCACACCTGATAGCAAAAGAAAGATGAAGCAATCCATCCAAGGCCACAGGAAATCTGTGGTAAGAGACAAGAGACCTGACCAGCCTCATATATAGGACCTTCCAGCCTCTAAGTACCGATTTGTTTGGCAGTTGCTGAAATGATTCTGCCCATAGGAAGAACATAAAAATGTAAGAGTCCAGATTGTTCAAAGGTATAAGCAGACAGTGTATTCTTTCAGCTGCTACTGAAAGTGCTATAGGAAAAGACGCTATATGTACCTGTCAGAGAATTTTAACCAATGTCTTCTTTGGCTCTTAGAACACAATATGTAAACCAGCAGGTGAACATAAGTTGTCTGCTGCAGTGTTAGGTTCCTGTTGTGAAAATCACAACAGCCAAATTGGTAACACACAGTTACATTAAAAAGAAATAGTAGTTTAGAACCAAGATTATTTAGTCGTTATGTACCTGTGCTTTTTCACAGGCCCACCAGCCCTACCAAGACTTGTACGTATGGTCTGCTAGAGACAGTGAAAACTGTGGAGAATTCTGAGGATCAAGACTGTTTGGTGTTGAAACATTCCTCTTTCTGATTACATTGTCTTTAGATTTTCTCCTTCCCCAGCAGTGTTTCACTGAGGGATGTTATGCTGTTGTGTTATATTTACAGATGACTGCAGTAAAGTTACACAGTAACAGAAATTTGTAAGCTGTCGATCTGATATCCCAGAGTCCTAACCCATTGATCTAATCATAGAGGATGCATAATTGTACAGAGCAGTATTTTACTTCTGCATAGTGGGATGTGCTCTGACAGCCCAGCAGTTAGTATTTCAATTAAGACTTCTGAGAAGACAAAATTCCCATGGGAATTTTTGGGATAGTTACTACTGACTATAGGTCTGTCTTCACACAAGTGGAGCCTTCTTGCTATATACAGCATACCTTTGATCACAAGAACATATCCTGATAAGAGAGGATAGATGTTTTTCAAAAGTATCAGACTTAGGCAGAAGATGAAATACCATTTTCAAAAATACGAGGTATTTAGGAGCAAATGACTTGCTGGCTTTGACCAGGACCTCAGGTTTCAATGGCCTAAAGTCCCAGTTCTCAGAAAACACTGAAGTATCTAATACCTGTTCAAGTCAAACTAGGAGCTGATACCTAAATCTGGACTGAGGTCCCATTTGAAAGGAAGACTTGCACTCCTAATCCTTTGAAAATCCTGCTCTGAATACCTTTTCCATTTAAAGCGACTCCTATGCAACTGTTTTCACTTCTTATGTAATTTTTGTAATTTCAGACTTTAATCCAACAGTGTGAAATAAGATGCATTTACATGCTGTAAAACAAAGACAACTACTTCTGCAGCAAATATTGCACAATTAATGACATCTCAGTTAGTACATCCTGAGTATCCTCAGTGACAGCACTGATGTTTTATGAGTTGAATCCCCTTATAGGGATTATACTTTCCTTGTAAATCATGCTACCTCATTTATTTAATCTCCAACATATTAAAGTTTATGCTGGGTACTTAATTCAGAGTGACATTAAAATGGCTTATCTACATATGCAGCTTGAACACACCCTCACTGTCTGACTTGGACAGCTGGTAGAATTCTAATTACATGTTGGAACCTACATTTTTCTGTACTGGAAATGTAATAAATGAGTTTTAGGAGACTGTGCTTGGCTTGCCTTACATTCCAGGCAGCATTGTCATAGTCGTTGGTGCTCGTGTTCTGGCCAGGTCCAAATCCAGCTCTTCATCTGCAGAGAAGAGCTGTCTGTTTCACTTACAGTGAAGCTTCATGTGTTCTTTTGATAGGAAGCTCTGTACCAGCATTCCTCAGAACAATTTCTTCTCTAAGGAGGAAGCACCATAGTTAAAAGATAAACCCGTGTATTAGACAAGTACAGAATTTCCTCTAATTCTGATATAACTATGTGAAATTGTACAGCTCCTGATCAGAGCTGAACAGGACTTTCTGATACCCTTGTCTAGATATTTTCCCTCTGCCTCCTGTTTCTCAGATACTTTCTCTCTGTAGATTTCAATCCCTTCTTCATGGGCAGAAGCAGTGACAGACAGGACTTGTGCGCACTGGTTTCCACTGGAATTCTGGGTTTGGTAAAGTCCCATCTCCCTGTTGGAATAAGGTCCCTCCACCTGGACTGTCGCTTCCATCCAAAAGCTCTGCAGATCCCTGAACAATATGTGTGTGTCTCCTCAGTGTGTCTCGCATTTTAACGTGTCTGAGTTGAATTAATGCCAAAGGCATGAAGAAAACACAGGTCCACAAAAGTTCATTGATCAGGAAAAGCTACTTTCAGCATCTGAAGAGATGCCTGAACTGGAGTGCAGCACCAGCCGAGGCTGGAACCAGTATCTGCGCTGTGTCATTTCTTGTGCCACTAACAAAGAGCGTGACCCTAGGACATGTCTACAAATACTCCTGCAAGTGGGAAACCTCAGTATTTAGTTAGGTTCTGGTGGTGATGTTGGTAGGTGTGGTCCCTTATAAGCCTTAATTAAATTCTAGGCTAATTCCTAAATCTGGAAAACATTTGAAAATCCTAAATCTGGAAAGCATTTGAAAATGGTTAGTTGCAGTGTTTCAGGCAATACCCCACTACAAAATGTTTGTTGTTTCAAAGAAACACTTGAACAGTGAAGGCTGTGTGGGTTGATTGCTATTCCAGGAGAGCTGCTAGGCTACTGTTCCCTACTTAGAAACTTGGATGAAAGGAGAGTACTGTAATGTAGTTTCATATGGACCATGGCAGGAATGGAACCATGCAGGATTGCCTGAAGGAAGGTGGGTAAGGAGAGGAAGCGGTCCTTGTCAGTACAAGGAAGTATCAAACAATAAGGGGAGGAGCAGGCTAAAGGAATTCGTATTCCCCAAGAGTTTCCTTTTAAGCACAAGGTGGGTGTGTCTCCCTCCAAACTAAAACACATCCTAAAATAAACATGCACAATTATTTGTGAACATACACATTGCTTATGGTGCAGTGTTGCTTTGTGTCCATTTAGAAGTTACAGCCAGAACCTTTCAAGTGGCTCAGACAGCAAAGGAAGCAGAAATCGAAGCAGAGTGAAATTGTCCTGATAAAAGGCAAGAAGCTGTGCTTTCTTTTGTTTGGGTTAGTTTTTAAACAAACACTTGTACTCCTCCCTCTGCCTCCCCCTCACATCCCCTCCAAAGGAAAAAGAAAATTGTTTAAGGAGCCTCATGAAAGGCAAGACCAACAGAGCAGTTAGAAAAAAAAACTGTGTAAGGAATCAGTAGTGACCAGTAGCTGGCACAAGTGCCTAAGAGTAGGACATCACTATGCCTGTTACTATACTGTAGACAGGGTCTACTACCATAAGTTCTCTTCCACCAGCAGTGTTACTGAAGGTAGCAGAAGGAAAAACTCAAGATTATTTGATACCTTTTGCTGTAGCAAATGATCACTGGAGGGAAAGTGGGTAACTGTTTAAACTATAGTTCTTTTAAGTGAATGTCTGCATGGTTATTTTATTTGAAGGAAATGAGTTCATGGCATTATTTTATTTCAAATTTGTTTATAAGACAAATCTTGGGAGATCCTGGCATTGTCTATAGTCCAGTCTTTCCTCATTACTCACTGTTTTATACTGTCTGACAAGAGCAAGGATGAGAATGTAGAGACTCTTCAAGCCTTGTCACATCTCAGGAATGGAGTAGGTATATTTGTATCCCATTCTTGGACAGACATTCCATAGAAGGCCAGGCACTGCAGAAACTGGTATAGGACATCAAAAGTGATGTTTCTTCCTTGGAGTTAGTTGTTTCTTCCTTGGAGTTAGTTGTAAAAATGCCTTGTTGTGGTGGTAAAGGTGTAAAGACTCAGTTTTATGTAATAAAAATTTCATGCATTTTACTACCAGAAGGTTCATTTAGGATGTTCAGTCATTGCAATAGCTGATTTAAAAATGCAAAGGTAGATCTGGCTAGGGAGCCAGACTTGTAAGATACTAAACCCACTTCTATTTCTTCCCTGTTTTTAACTGGCAAGAGTTTTCAGTACTTTGCAACCTTCAACTGCTGCCTTCAAAGGAAGCAGTGGTGGTACTTCAGCAATAGTGGAGTGTTTAGCACATAACGCTTCCAAAATACTGTGCAGGGAAAGATGAGTTACCCATTCGTGATTAGACAGATGCCCTGCAGCTCAAAGCAGGAGCAGATACTGCGAAACACCACAGTACTGCAGACTGGTGAATACGCAGTTGTCTCTCCCTCCTTTTCCACGAGTTGTTTTAAGCCTCCCACATATGATGCTGGATTGGTATAAAACCCCAGATACAGAATAATTCTGAAACAGTATGTGTGATAAGGACCCTGACTAGGACAGGCTTTTCATTCCTTCTGGGCTAAGCTGAGATCACTGGTTCAGTTTTTAACTTAGATGAAATCTCTCTGGTGTCTCATAGCTCTGGAAAGACTGTTTTCTGACTACATCAGAGTGCCAAATTGTCAGCTTCTTTCTGACTATTGGAAGACATTTCAGCAAGCTAAGGAATATTAGAAGAAATAGCCTTTTATGTCTCCCAGAGTCTAATCAAACAAATATATGCCAGTATTAGTTCAGTACAAATTACTCCAATTATACTAAGATAACAGTAAGAAAAGTACCATGACACCAAATATCAGAACAATCAGAGGATCATTTTTAAGCAGTTTGCATGCAGCATTCCCTTATTCTCAGTATGGTGTACAGCTCAGTTCTAACTGTCTGCACTTCCACATATCAAAAGTCTGCATTCCAAAATACTCAAAATATAACAGCACAGTAGCTACAGTTCCTGAAACTTATACCATGATTTATGATAGGATTTCACATAGGAACCATGTCAAAAATTGTATCTTTTGTGATGCTCTTCCCTTCTTTCCTGTGTGTAAGGCACAAAGATTTTGCACAAAGAATTGTTCCTGTCTCTCTCATAGTGAAATGGTTTGTCCTGTGCTTTTCCTTAAAATGGAGAGCTCTCTGTTTTCCACTACAACATGTAAATTAAAATTATAAAAATAATTAGAGATTTCTGATTGATTAATCATGTCATTATCTATTGATGGCTAGGAAACACCAGCAGGAGGAAACCACTTCTCTCTACTTATTACCATCTGTAACCATTGGATATGCTTGCTTCTTTACACTACATATTTCTTCCCATCTAAAATCTCACAAGGGAGGATCCCTATTGTTGCCTATTTATGCAGTCTTTCAGCATTTCATTTAGTTTCTGGATAATATTAATTTCAGGACCAAGATAGCTGAATGGCTGTGTTCTGCAAACTGTGTTGTGAGTAAAATGGACATATATGACTTAATTCACCTAGCTTCAATCTAGCTTGTCAGTCTGCTTGAATTCCCCTACACGTGTCAGCACTACCTCTAGAAATACAAGGCTGGCCTTAGTTTGCAAGATAATTTACTTTTTAAAGTATATTTTGATGTTTAGAGAAGACTGTATCTCCAAGGGGCCCCAGGTTTACAGGAGGATGGAGGAGCTTTTGACTAAAGGGCTGAAAAAGCTGTACATTGACAACTGAACTTGAGTTTAAACCAATAAATGTTTTGGGTTGAAGTATTGCATACAGTGCATTATAGCTCATCTGCATAATCAGTGTAAAGTAGTAGTCAAGCTTTTTGCAAACGACCTTATGCCTCATCATTATGCTCTTCGATAAAGAAAACATAACTCCATATTTTGTTACCAGGGTAATGACAGGTGGGAAGACTCTGCCCAGGCACCAAGAGTTCAGTTTGGTTGGGTTGAATTAAACGTTGATCTGTTGGTAGAACTAATTTTGTTCATTGCTGAAATCCTGCAAACTGCCTATTGAAATTAAAATCATTGCTACAAAGTATTTATGCTGAATTATGAACAGCTACTATTACTGAAAGGCATTTCTTTCCTTGAAGTGAAATACTTCAACATCAGTGAATCAAAGTGGTCATATTTAATCATAGGGCAAACATTTCTGTGGCAGAACCAAAATGTTGTTAATATTAGTGCTTCTGAGTGTGGGAGGTGTTACCCATCTGTGGACACCTGTGTATGATACATCCTTGGCTCTGCAGCTCGACATTTTTCTTTCCCCAAGTGTGCTAGGGATGCATCTAGTTTGGTTCTGTTTTGACCTTAAACTACGTTCTCTGGAATGTAGCTACAGTGCTGCATGGAAGGATGCTTCACATGCTTTGCGCCTTCAGTTCTCTTTTCAGAGCTGAGCCTATATTATTTTCTGGATTCCTTCTGCAGTAGAAAACACTGACTATAGATAAAGTCTACTGTAGGATATATTCTGTCAGCTTTAATAAAAACCAAGATGACTAACATGATTTTTTTCTTTTTTTCTCCAGAAATCACAAAACCACCACTAGCACCAAAACCAAAGATTATCGGTCATCTTTCTCCAGTAGCTGTCTCCAAATTTTCTCCTTCACTGCCTAGGGCTGATATTCTTCATAACCCAAACTCTGTATCTAGGGGTCCCAAACCACCTATTGCTCCCAAGCCAAAATTCTCAGCTGACACTGAGGGGAAATCCAGTGTTTCTACCAACAATAAGTTAAATAAATGTCCAAATGGGAGACTGGTGTGTCTTGATGGAGAGCTGTATGAAGGAAACCAGTGCAATGCCGATTGCCTAGAATCTGAGGCAGGTAATGAATACATTGTAGTTCCTGAAGCTCGGCTGACCAGCAAAGACTGTAATAATTTGGAACATGAGTATGATAGGAACCTAGATTCCTCTGGGGAAGATGAAGTCTCAGAAACTCCAGAAGAGGTAAAGGAAGACAATAGCATTGCTAATGAGGAGAATACCAGTAATCGAGAAGTCATCGAAGATGAGCACCATAACTCTTCAGATATTGCTGAACCAATGGAATCAGACTCTGAAGAGTCAACCAGAGACTGTGACCAGTCCAAAGCACTTTGTGAGGAGTCCTCAGATACCCCAGATAGGGATAAAGATGCTTCCAAGAATGTAGATGAAGATGAGGATGTTGTAGGTGATTGTATTGAAACAAAAAACAAGGAGAAAACTTCTTACAACCCGGAACTGGTCCAGAACAATAGTGATTGTAAGACTGAAACTGATAATGTTTTCAATAGAGATGAGGAACTAATGGGTGATACCTGTAAAAATACCATTGTAATTCCACTGCCTGCAGATGAATCAATCTCATGTTGTGGGAAGGCAGGGCAGGAGGAGGAGGAGGAACTGCCTGAGATTTTAGAAAAAGCAGATGGGTGTCTAGCACATGATGATGACCACAGTGCACATTCAGAGCTTGATTTGAATGCGGAAGGGGAGTTGGAAGATGAGGACTGTGCAAGCCCTGACATGCTGCCTGATGAGGCCGAAGATGAAACAGCTCCTGGCTTAGAACCGTGTGAAGATGAACCCAGTGCCCTAAATGGTTTAGGAGAGTTCATCCATCAAGCAGCAGCTGAAGAGGAGGAAGCAGAACCAGATGAGCACAATAGTACACACAAAGGAAACACTGGTGATGGCTGCCAGATCACTGAGAGGAGAGATGAGAAGACATCAGAGGTAGCCTGTGAAGCAAGCAAAGACTCTGGGAAAGGGGAAGAAGAAATTGTGAATGCTGAGAATATGGATGATGGCTGTCAAATTGCACCTTGTGAGAATGAATGGGGTGAGGAAATACACATGGAACATTCAGATGAGCATCTTCAATCAGAATGGACCTCTCTGCATGAAGATGGTGTGATTTCTGATAGCCTACCTTGTAGTCCAGGGATGGAACTAGAGCTGGAAAACGTGACTGTTGAAGAGCATAGTGAAAGTACTGTGGAAACCTCTAAGTCAGATGAACTGCAACTCGAAGACAATGAGGTGGAAGCAAACAGCTTCAGCAAAAGTGTCCCAAGTTCACCTCAACAGGTCCCACTTGAGGAAGAGTTAGAGTTCTGTAGGCACGGCAAAACTAATGTAGAATGTGGGACCAAACATATTTTGCATGAAAATCTAGCAGTCCCTAAAGTGGTCATTGTGTCTGAAGAATCAGAGGAAAGAGAAACTAGCAGTGATTCCCTAGATGATCCTTATGTGCTTCCTGCAGAAAATGAAATTGCTCATGGTGTGCAGACTGATTTAGGAGCTGATCCCAGTAAAAGGGATGAATTAGGCATGGATGGTGAAAACAACTTGCTTCCCGTTGATCGTAAAAGCATTGTCACTAGAACACGGTCACTATCTGGGAAAATGCCTGGCTGTGTCCCAGAAACTGTTCCAGAAGAAACTGGACCTGAAACTGATTTACCATCTTCCCGCAATGGCTCTGGGACAGAAGATTTAAACATTAATTTATTTTCACTCGAAGCAAAACCAATGGAAGCCAACAGTGCATTACCAACGAAGTCAAGACGTTTCATTTTATATCCTCGATCTTATTCAGTTGAAGGGAGAGAGATGCCTATCGCTGTTTACGGAGAAAGTGATGGCTGCATACTGGATGATGTTAGAATTAAAAGGACAGAAGACAACTTGTCTTTGCCTTGTGTCAATGGTTCCTCAGGTAGTTTTTCTCAGCGAAATCATCTTTCATCATGTAGCATATCTACGCCATCCTCAGTTGTTGATATACCACCTCCTTTTGAACTTGCCTATATCACCAAAAAGCCAATAACTAAAAGTTCCCCTTCACTTTTGATAGAAAGTGACTCACCTGATAAGTATTCCAAGAAAAAGAAATCTTCTTTTAAGAGGTTCCTCACTCTAAAATTCAAGAAGAAAACTGAAAATAAAGTCCATGTAGATGTTAATGTTTCTTCTTCAAGGTCCTCATCAGAGTCCAGCTATCACGGGCCTCCAAGGCTGATGGAGCTAGACAGGAGGAGCCTCAGTAGCTCACCTCAACTAAAATCACATGTGGGGAAGTTCCGTGCATCTGAGTCTCCCTCTGCTATTCTCTTCTATAAGGATGGTAAAAGAAAAGGAACGCCCAAGTCCTTCAGCAGGAGTGTGTCAAGGGTGGAGTCCTTCGAGGACCGGTCCAGACCTCCTTTCATGCCACTTCCATTAACGAAACCCAGGTCTATTTCTTTTCCCAATGCCGACACGTCTGACTATGAGAACATTCCTGCTATGAGCTCTGACTATGAAAACATACAAATTCCTCCTCGAAGATCCACCAGAGCAGGAACATTTACTGAGTTTTTTGAAGATCCCAGCAGGGCATTATCTGCTGCTAATGAGAATGACGGCTATGTGGACATGAGCAGCTTCACTGGCTTTGAGAACAAGCAGCAAACCACAGACCAGGAAACAGAAAGGTACTGTAATAAATT